TTTTGACTCGACTCGACTCAAACTCGACTCGACTCATTTAACTCATGAGTCAACTCGACTCATTCGGAGCTCTAAATTTAATCAACCACGCTCTTTCTAAATATTATCACATTATTCTTATGAATGACTTTAATGTTTTTCCTGAAAAACCTCTTTCATACTCTTTAAAATATACATATAAATGAAAACTTTCTTTTCTTACTTCTCTTAAACAATTAGACTTTCATGATACTACTAACCCATGTCATGATATTTTCCTCTCCAATCCCATGTTCACTCACAACTCTCAAAGTCAGATTGATTTTATATTTATCTCTTCTTCTCTTCTCAATTCTTTAGTTTACATAGATAATAAGTTTACTGATCTGTATCAAAGTGATCATGAATTACTACAATTAACTCTTTTTGATTATATTTTTAACTACAAATCTAAAGTTAAACTCAGGAAACAAAATATTACTAAAATAATATTTGATTATGATAAAACTTCCACAGATAACTGGACTAAATTTGGAAAAACAACCAATAATCATACCATTTCCTTTGATCTCAACAAAATTAATTCTTCTTCTATTAATAATTTACATGATTTAAATTATTACTAGAGTCTCATTCAATAACACATTAAATCTTCTACTACCTCATCAATCTCTCATCATAAAAGCGCTTCAGAATACAAAACCTTTCATCTTTATCACATATATAAAATTTATTTACATATTAAATGCTTGAACAAAATATTCCGCATTTTTAATCACAAATGTATTCATAATAACACTTTTATTACTAATGAAGATTGGCATCACTATCAAACCAAACTCACTTTCATAACCAAATATTATAATTATTTCGCAAACTTACCATATTTTATTCAACATGATAACTATATACTTATAAGACATTCCATTAAATTTCCTATCAAATTACTCATCACAAAAGCCTCCTTAGAAAAAAAACCACTCAAAAGACCAAATGATTAAATATATTCGTCAATATTGCTTAAACTATCAACCTAATCAAAGTTTAGTTATTAATTCAGCTTTAGATCATCAAAAAAGAAAAATTATCTTAGATTGTGTTCTTGTTACTCTTTCTGATTCATCTACTAATCTTCTAACTGAACTTGATACAGTCAAAGTAGCTGCCATTAATCATTTTCAAAATCTAGCAGTACTTAATAGCTTCCACAAACCTAAAGTGAACCTATACGAATGGCAACATCAATATGCTCCTAAAGAAAATATTAGTTCTTCTATTTATGATACTCTAATGAATCCTCTTTCTAAAGAAGAATGAACTAACATACTACACAACCTTTCTGATGATAAAGCATCTGATCCATCTGGAATTTCAAATGAAATGCTTAAACATCTAGACAACAAAATGCATATAACCCTCTGACACTTTATCAATGCTTATTTATGTTAAATGACATATTTTCAATCTGACGAGAAGCAGATATTTATCCAATATCTAAACCTAAAGATTAGAAATGTGAACTCAAAAATACCCGACCTATCACACTATTAGATACTGTTCGTAAAGTCCTTATTAAAGCATTAACTATAGACTCTCATACATCTTTATCAATTACTCAATTCTTAAAGGTAATAACTTTACTGGCCTCCAACATTTATCCACTTTTAAACCTATTCGTATTTTAAATAATATCATTCATAATGCTAGAGAATAAAACAAAGAACTTTAGCTCTATTTTCAAGACATGTTCAAAGCTTATGATCATATTAATGTTCACATATTATTTAAAATCATGCTTCATCTACAACTTTCCCACTCTTTTTGCATCTTATTCATAACTTGTTTTTAAATCATAAGAATTGTATTTTTACTCACTATAGCTCTACAGATAATTATAATGTATTAATTGGTATTGACTAAGAAGAAATTATCTCTCTACTTCTATGGTGTATCTACTACAATCTCTTAATGTGTGAATTACAATCTCAATATGGTTTAGATTACGCAATATCTCACACTGGTCGAAATAGTCCAAATCGGCTATAAATCAGATGGCCGAATTTAGGCTGATTTTGGTACTATTTTTGGCAGGTTTGTTATTTTCCGATCGGTACAATCTACGCCGATCGACCCAATCAAATCGACGCCAATCATCCCAATTCATAAAATTTATTAAAAAGCATTCGTAT